AATAGACATAATTAAATGCAGTATTGGTTTCATCGTTTATAAATAAGAATTCGCAATCTCATATCATTTAATTATTGACATTAATAAAGATGACAAAATGAACCTGAAAAATCTTGGAAAGTGAGGGAGATTGAATGGGATTTTTGTATGAGCTAGTGAAGTAACGAAATCAAATATGTGACATATGCTAATGATAGTGAAAAAATTGAGCCTTTTCAAGACGTATCATTTGTTCTCTTTCAGAGTCAAATGTTTATATCAACAGGTTAGTGAGTGGGTTTATTTGAAGAATTACCATTCAAATTGGTCGTCTAAACTTATATACGTGACAATCTCCCATTACTTTCGAGTTTCTGAAGTTCGATTCAAGAGAGTCACTCTGTTTAATTGATTCCCTCTGGGTGTTTGCTTAAGAATGAACTTCGTCGATTGAGAGTACAAAAAGTGGCTCGCAGCTGCATATTCCGTCAACATTTCGCTCCATTAATGAATAAATGAGTAAACTCACGAATGACGACATTTCGAACATTGGACGTTGATTTCTGAGCAATAAATTTCCTTTCCAATTCGTTGCTTATAACACTGATATATACCGACGTTAGTCTATAAAGTAAATTTTGAAATTTTCATCAATGTAATACCTTTATTCATTGAAATTCGCATGAATATTTATTCATTTGCTTTGCCGTTGCCATATGCTGCTGCCTAGCCATGTCCACAACATTCATTTTGTAATCAGATGATTTTCGAGCATTTTTTACTGCATTTTTATTCATGAATGAATACTAATTACATTTGATATTGAGTGTACCTAGTCAACGGTAACGTTTAGATCTGCACTCAAATTTATATTCCCCATGATCGAATGCATAGATCTTATCAGTATCTACTTGAATCTGCAAACATTCAATCCAGAACCATTACGCGTATTCTTGTGGACTCATGAGAACTACTTTTATTTGTATAGCTCAGCTAATTGTAAGCGCAAACAAAGAATCTTCGCCATTCGTTATCGAACAAAAAGATACGAATTCTACACTCAAATTGATGCACTTAAAGATAAAGCGAATAGAAATATAATATTCTGCCTTTGCACACTTCACGAACTTTTGCAAAATTCATGAACTGAAGACTATTGAAACGGTTCAGTGAAGAGTGCAACGGCTCTTTCTGAGAATGCGTTCGAATTGAATTCGGAACATAAGGCAAGATAGCCTTCTTCTTATCTTCGTTGATTGCTTAACGACTTGTGATTGTTTGTTCGAGCATTCTCAAACACTTTCACGGAATAATGCATTGATAATAGCAATGAAAATCTATTATTTTCTCTTATCTCCTCAATGCACTTTCGAACATTCATTCAACTGAGCTCATTCATTCACTTGCATTGACTCAAGTCTGCCCTTTATCGTGGCTTTTATCTATTGTTTAATCCCAATGGCCTAAGTCGCAGAACTGANAGTGAGTGAAATCTGCGTACATTCATGTGTTCAACCTTATCGGTAAGTGCATATTGAACGTCAGCAAATGCCTTCTTCTTGTATTTGTTCTCATAGGAAATTATTATTTGCCTTCTAGAACAGTCAGTTGCTTTTGAGAATAACTATTTATGTAACGGCCTAGCTATATGTTTGCTCAGGTGTAGGATTTCGCCTGGATATTTGGCCGAATACGAATTTTGAGCTAGAGATCTAACGTAATGCTAAGGCTTTTAAAAGCTCGCGCCATGAAAAAATAGATGAGTTGCAAAATTGTCAGAGTAGTTAAGCTTTATTAGCGTTGAACAGTGAATGATCTGAGTGAGCATAGTAGTTTGCTGAGTAATCCACTTGATTGACAACGATCAGTTTCAAGCCTTACGTGAGTGCGATGAGAATAGTTACTACTAAACGGAATGAACATAAGTCCACGGAAGATTTTATAGGATTCTATTGTATTGCTTGAATATCCTGCATAGCAATTGTAGTATTTCCGTGCATTCTTTATCAATATTACATGCGGATTATTTTTCTGCTTCCATACAACTGTAAGTAAACAATTGTAACAATTTTAATAACGATAAGTATCGGAAGCTGAATTTCGAACAATTATCATAGATTCTTCTTGAAAAAAAAGCTACAATGAATTCGATCTTCCGTTACAGTCTAGTGTTGTGATTGTGTTCTCGCACCAGTGAATCCATCTCTTATAGTAGTTTGTCGGGTTTCCGCATTTATTTACGATAACATTGGATAATGTTGTAGAAACACAAAGGATTAATAGCATACAAACTCAAAGGGATATATTGATCATTCAAGCAGTACATACGAAGGTTTCATCATAATTTCATCATGCAAATCAGTAAGTCAGTATAAGGTGATCTCACAGGCACAAACGGATAAGATGATTATCCAACAGTACAGAAAATGTTCCATTTCATCATGCGTATCTTATATCGTAATACATCTATCAGTCTTATACGTAAACAGCTAATGTACAAAGCAAAAGCTTGATTCATAGAGCACTTCTGTTCATAGATCACTTTTGTGCCCCTGACGAATCATATCGTTCGCGCTCCGTCGTGACGTCGGGTTTCTTCGCATTTTTTCTTTCCGCTTGTCCGCGCCTTCACAACCTATCGAATTTTCCTTCACTTTTTGCCGTGTGAGCGAACTAGTTCCGTGAACGAACAGTTGAAAGACCGAATGAAATTAGAATCCGAAATAATTTCAATGGAATGATTATTTTTACTCAAATATTAGCTGAAAATAAGGAATCTTATCGTATTTGTGTGCGTAGTCAGCACATATATATTGTTTAGTCCAATGTGTGGTACTCATGCATCGCGTGCATGTTTGTGGTATTGCACACACGTCATTGGATACGTCAATAGAATGGAGACGACAGTCGGAAGGTTTCAATTTTCTATTCAATGGATTTGAATTACAATTTCAAGGATCTGATGATGCTCGAAAATGAGATCTGGAGCATTTGAGCACATGCATCTGCTCATTTTCGTTATCTGCATCCAGTAAAAACAAATGTGTTTGAAGCGATAAAGCGTTAATTTTGAACGGTTTATAATGCTGATGAAAATGATGAGAGCGTTTTGGGATATGGATGGATGTATGATCACCGAATCTTTGGCTGCATATATTGTTAAGCGCCAACAACATCAATAACAAGTTTTTTTTATTGATCCTTGGGACGACATGACTCCCGCCGAGCCAATCCTTATTCAGTGTGTTTACGCTAGGAACCGATAGCGATGAGGCTTTCCATTGATGCAGGCGGCTGTCAATTAAGGCTGATGAATTTGTTTCGTTTGTTGTTGTCGCTTAGCGTTGAGTCTGTTTTTTATTAATCCACATGATTTCCTCATATTATTTGTGCTCACATCATTATTTGTATTGCATTCAGACTCAGAATCTATGTTCGGTTGTTCGATTGTTTGAGTTAACGACGTTAATTATGAAGTAATGTCGGTGTAGAAGTATGTGTAGCAATATAGCAATAAGTATGTGATATTAACATTATATTATATCTGTTGAAAACATAATATGCCTCTAAAGTAGTTTGTTGACTTGGTAAAAGGCTTGATGCTTGAAAGACGTTTGAATGACTTGTTGATGTTTAATGCACTTTTACATATTGCAATAAATTTGTGTTCCGCTAAAGCACTGGTTATCACGTTCGGGTGATCCATTACCCCTTTTGAAGATATGGCAGAGCCTCCCGACACCCAAGTTGCCCAAAACGGGTAATTTCACTTCCTGTGAGAATCAGTGTCGTAGACTATTGTGTTGTTCATTACTGCAGTCGATTATGATTGCATGAAAAGCTATTGTCTGTGACACGTTCACTACAAATTGATTCAGATAAATTCTCATTCTTTTCAGACGTGTTTTATTCACTCTCATAGCTATCACATGCGAATACCATTCTCTTGATGAGTTTTTCTCATTCACTTCGTTTCATTTCAATTCACAGTTGAAATCAGTTTCTTATTCTGTAGCATATACTATTTACTAGATACGTTGACGAGAGTTGACAGCCGAAATCAACAATACAACAATCGAATATTATTGTTCAACAACGTTCGAGAGTCAAATGATCAGTTATAGAGTGTATTTGATAGAATGAGAATTTGACTTGAATTGTTGAATGAAATGAATGAGAAATTAGCAGAAGAGAACATTTTTGGTGATAAAAGTTATGAGAGCGATTACAACAGCAAGGAAAAGAATGAAAAACCTGTTAGGCCCGGACAAGCTAATGATACTCAGAAAATATGAGAATGAAGAGTGTTGCCATCAACTAACCGCATTTACATATAAATCCGAGTTAAAAAGCATCATTACAATAGCGTTCTATCATAACATAACAACTGCACGAAATACTAATTTCCTGACCCCCTCCATTACCCTTTGACACCACCAAATTACTCAACATGGGTAATTTCATCCCCTATGAGAACCATTGCGCTAAAGCAGTATCTCAGCAATGTGTTTATACTTCTCGAAAGAAAAGTGCTGCTCTAGGTACATTGGCTAAATGCTAGCAATTTCCGCACTTAACTTATTGGATCATGAGTAATTTATAATGTAAAATGAAGAAATTTTCACATTTATTCAGCTTATAGAATTTCAATTACTTTCGCTAGAAATCCCCAATAGTTTCACCAGCAGAAGTTGTGAAAACACACGGTAAACATTCATACGTAATGGAATCTAATCAGTGAGTATTGTTGCCAGAGACGAAGAACATCGTTTTGTGAATAAATCATAAACAATCTCCAAATGAGCGGCTGTGTTTCGAGCACACATACCTGAGAATAACATTTGCTTCATTCGTTTGCTTATACGAAATGGTCATTCGTTTACTTATACGAAATCATTTCTTAATGCTGATGCATCTTATAAACCAGTGTTTCTCACCTAAATCCAACGAGAATACGTTCAACATTCGAGCATTCTTGCATCGCTATCAATAAATCTATTCAGTGATCAACTTTCAGCATAATGAGTGAAAATGGAGCGCGCAATATACAGAATATATTCGTTTTCATCATAACTGCATTATGCGCGCTTGGTGACACTCTTGAGGTGTACACGAATCACTTTCATGTACATACGAAAGTGCCCGGCGCGGAAAATGCACACAAAATCGCTAAGCGTCATGGTTTCATCAACAGAGGACCGGTAAGTTCCCAAATTGTCAGCTGAATTCGTGTGAGTGCTCTGACATCTGACACTCAGCCACACTCAATCCACTCACACAAGAGATTTCCTTAAAGCAACGACATGACCAAATCTCAACTTTACTGAGATTTGAGTGTCATTTTCTATCCAACATAGCAATCATATGGCTCGAATGTTCGTAAATTTGCTCACTTGGATGAAATCTTGTTATTCAGTATTTTGAAGTCAATCAGCCTCACATCTATTGCAATCTCAGAATGTTCGAGGTTTTTCACATCCAAATTTTGCTTTAACGTTTGCTAAATGGATACCTATCAGCTGTCTTTATCAGTTTTCACCTCAGCCGTTCCGGGAATCTGAGACAGAATTTAGTTTCAACTGCAATCCATTTACTTGCGATCAATGAACGCTCTGACTTCTGAATGTCCTACATGAAAATGACCAATGAACAAACGAAGTGACTTGATCAGAAATTGATCAGTTAGGTGTGCAATTACTCAAAAGATATCCAATCCATCCAATTACATTGAGAAATGACAGACAGGCACACACTCAGAGATGAACTGAGATCATCATAATTCCTCAAGAGAATTTATCATCATCGAACAAATATTCCTGGAATGAAGATATGAATATCTTGTCGTCACTCACGCAGAAAATGTTCATTTGTCACGTCATTATTCCATTCATTATCCGTCGTTCATATCAGCAACGCCAAATATGCACATCTTTCAAAATTACATCCAAAAAAATGTTCCTGTAACGATGTATTGGATGAGATGATAGCAAAAGAACCAGATAACTGATCGAAAAAAAGACATCGACTCTTCAACCACAAGCAATGCTTCCACCCGAGCCATTATTCTTTTTAATTAATCACTTTAGCTGGCTGAAATTACTTCATTTACTGGTGTAGTCACCGTTAAAAAATGGCAGTATCCTTGAGCCAGGAAGGTGGTTGGTTTATTGAGAAATATTGCAAATATTCAGAAGCGTGAACAGAGAAAAAAGCATGCAGATTAGCCAAATGACTGAAAAAATATTGTCGTCATTGTCTGGAAACGGAATTGTCTGAAGTTAAATGAAATCGCCAAATTGAAATGCATTTACAAAATACCTTTCCATGCTTTACCAAATCAATCTTCGTATATGTATTACGTATTTGAAATCAAGTAAAATCCCTTCTAGGAAATTTTTATGCGCCCAATCAATTGTTTATCAGCAGTAATGTTGAATGAAACGTTTGAATGAATGGATGAGAAGCTAATTAGAAATAAGCAAATTCAATTTATTCATTATAATTAAGCCCATATGGTTGAATTACATCGTAGCACAGCTGTTGGGAAGATAAACCAGATTTGTTGATATCATTATAGATAGATAGTTTTATTGCCGAGTAACAAATATGTACAAGCAATAATACAGCATGAAAGGCGGAGCGCACTGATATCATGCGGGTAGGTTGAAAAAGTAAAAAAATAATATCAAATTAATAATGATAATAACAAAAAAAATTAAAGATATTGATGACAAAAAATGATAATACAGTTAAGGGTCATGTATGACAAAAATTATTGAGCTTTTTGTTTTGCTGACTAGCCAAAACGAGGGATGTCACAAGAAGATGTTTATCAACAAACTGAACGAATGCATTGGATTGAAAATCTGACTGGGATTCTGTATGCTTCAGGTACTTGGTTCAGCAACAGAATGGCACTTTGTACAGCCAGCCTTATCGCATGCTCGAACGAAACGATCAACAGTACATCAAATGCTACTTAAGAACGATGACGATGTGAGTTGTGCGGTTGATCTCTTGAATTGCTCTTTGTTTAAGTCACCATATTCTAAGAACGCTAACAGTGCTGTTTAAACGTTTCTTGAAAAATAATATTCCTTAACGGAGATAATCTTTTAAAACATGTGAAGTATCAAGCATCAGAGAGCATCGAAAACTCTCAGTTTATTGAAATTTAATGCGAAGTATCAACAATTCAGTATGTCAATTTGAAGCAAGAAATATGGCTTAGAAAATGCCATAAATGAACAATGAAAATATTTATTGCAAAATCAAATAATAGGTTTACTCAGTATTCAAGTTTTTTGCTGGTAGTGTGGATTTTGCACTCATTGAATTGAGTGTCCTTTGGGCCGATTGTATTTCTGTTATTGCAGATTGCCCATGTGGAACAACTGACGGGATATAAACGCACTAAACGAGGTTATAGGTAAGTTTTTGCTCATGTATGCTGCATGAAAGGTAGAGTTAAGGATAATCCACTCGTGTTTCGAATCAAAATCTATCGGTTCCTTCCTCTCATAGAGTCCACTTCATATGATCCATTCACCTAATTGCAAAATTTTACGCCCTGAAATATCGTGAGGTTATGTTGATTCTTCTTATCGATGAATAGCATGGTGTAGTATTCGAGCGCAACAAAATCCTAGCGAATTTATGCGTTTTCAGAGCTCTGGAGGAACGACTTCAAGAACAACTTGACTTCAGCTCAGTGCAGTCACCCACCGATCCTCTATATCCATACCAATGGTATTTGGTAAGCAACTGACATTCCTTTAGCTATAAATTCCTAACATTCAGCGAATTCCAAGGCATTCGAATCCAGGGATTTCATTTTTGTTGCACTTCTTCAAGAGTGAAAGGAGCGCAAATTTGATTTCCATCTACTGTAGTTAAAAAAACCATGTGAGTGCAATTGAAACGCCGAATTGATGTATAATGAAAACTTTTGAAAGCTCGGCCGAGATAGAATGAGCTCGATCGAAAAAGAAAGGAAACAGGCCACCGACATTCATGGCTGAGAGGGCAAAAACGTCTTGATTGAATTCGGCATTCTCATTCAGAGAAACGCATTATCGTTTCATTGCAATGTTGAGAGCTGGAAATGGATCCTGTCGCCGCTTCATTTCCGTTTTCTTTAGCGGCGTTGTTAAAGCTGCACTATGGACGAGATATCTATCTCAATTGACTTCAGACATTCAGTTGATTCGCTCAGAACGCATGATATTATCACATCACGTCCAAAATTACTGCTTTTCTTCATTGGCATTTCGTCAGAATAATTGAAGAATTCTCTCGAGTTTATCAATATTTAAGTGCCCTCAGTTCATTAAGAAATTGTCACATTTATCCATTTCTAATAGTTTTTTCCTCATATTCTTCTCTTCATGAACGATATCAAATGGAATGCACTCATTTTCAAAGCTATCAAACAAACATTCACGATGATTGCCGGAAGAGAGCTTGAAAATATGAAAATTTTCACCAGTCTCCATGGCAATCACAACGACTGGTTAGTAAGACTGTTGGGGGAGAAATGTAATAATTTCACTTTAGAAAAACGTCGGGCAAGCTGGTGGCAAGAAACGACTGGATTTGAACGTGGAAAAAGCTTGGGCACTTGGATTCACCGGTAAGAATGTTACAACGGCAATTATGGACGATGGTGTGGATTATATGCACCCGGATATCAAGAATAACTTTGTTAGTCACCATTTTTGACATGGTATTTCAAACAAGACAAAAAAATCATCCATTGATCTTGAACAGATCAAATTGATTGCTTGATTGATTGACTGGATATTAAGAAATGATCTTCAGAGTTGTACTGCTGTGATTTCTCAAAAATGAACTATCAATGAGTGTTAATCCGATTGGAATTTAAGACCGCATATCTCTCTATCTATTCCGCCGTGCTGAACAATGAATTCCGTGATGAGAGTTCTGTACAAATGAAAATTTCAGAACGCAAAAGCAAGTTACGACTTCAGTTCGAATGATCCTTTTCCATATCCGAGATATACTGACGACTGGTTCAACTCACATGGAACACGGTAAACAATTCGGTTTCTTTTGATGAGTTTTGTCAATAATATGATTGTCCGATATGAAAACACAAGTTGATTTCATACTGGTACCAGCTGGAGTGTCCGGTTGGAAGAGGGCTAAACTTCTTCAAAATTAAAGTGACATCCATAAGCTATACTCATTGACAGAACCTTCAACTTCAGGTGTGCTGGTGAGATAGCGGCAGCTCGAGATAACGGTGTGTGCGGTGTTGGCGTTGCGTACGATAGTAAAGTGGCCGGAATTCGTATGCTTGATCAACCTTATATGACTGATCTGATTGAGGTATCTCCAGTGCACATCAATGAGTCTTCATTTCATCACTACTAAAAACTGACCTTTTCATGCGTCCTACTTCTCAATAAAATACATTCGATGAAGTGATTGCGGCACTTCCATTCGATCATTCATTATAATTACTCACCAACACACTCATGAGATGAACATGAAAATGGCTGAACGGAACTGAACATTTTAATGTTCGGAAAATTCGAAGGAAACAAATTTCCTCACAATCAGCACAAACCCTTGACACAATCACTGAAATGATCTCAAACGATCATGAGCGAGTTTCCTGATCAGTGATCGATCTCCTTACTCTTTCATTTGATGTAGCATTCCATTTCTTCAGCGTTTCACCAGAAAAAAATGCTTCATGGATGTGTTCTATATTTAAAAAATAATCATTTTTCTTCTCGAATTATCAGAAATTGTCATTTTAAGGCCAACTCAATGGGCCATGAGCCGAATCTGATCCATATCTATTCTGCCAGCTGGGGCCCAACTGACGATGGTAAAACCGTGGATGGACCGCGTAACGCAACGATGCGAGCGATCGTTAAAGGAGTTAACGAGGTGAGGACAGTTTCTTTACTTAGACAGAATCTTTTCATTTAATCGTCGTTGATGGTCAGTAGAACCCTTTGAAATGATTTGGATGAAAATATGAAAGTTATTCGCCATGAATGAGAAATCTCTCATCGAGAGATAATCCTCTCTTTGAATACAAGACGAAAATAATGATGAAACACAGTTGCAACTTATGGGCTTGATGATAGGTCTGTAGCATACAATAGTTCTGCACAGGGCGCATTTGATCCATAATCATCCAATCCATGCTTGAAGTGTAACTGTAATTCAGGAATTCAGCTAGTTAACTGATCCCAAATGTTTATTGAAGCAGCAAAATTGTACCGTTCAAAAAATTTTGTAAAAATTGTCACCATAAAAAAATTTGTCACTGAAGGGTCGCAATGGTTTGGGATCTATATTTGTATGGGCCAGCGGAGACGGTGGTGAGGACGATGACTGCAATTGCGATGGCTATGCGGCTTCGATGTGGACCATATCTATTAATTCGGCAATTAACAGCGGTGAGAATGCGCACTATGACGAGTGAGTAACAAATATCATCTCATAACCTTCTTCTTCGCTCATTTCCCACTCCAATGTCCTAATCGCTTTCATGCAGTTGATATACCACCTTTGGTCTATTTACGAGACTTTCATGGACATTGAATCTTGTCACCTTATCCGCATGAACTGATTTCGAATCTTCAAATAATTTCCGCATGTAGACTATTATTTTATAGGTTCATCTTCTGAAAAAACTCGAAATCTATGATCCTGATCATCTGTACAGGTGGAATTGTTTATCTTATCGAACTCACAAGAATTGAGTTTGTTGGATTTTAGGAGTTGTTCATCGACTCTCGCTTCAACCTTCTCGAACGGTGGACGTAATCCAGAAACTGGAGTGGCAACAACAGATCTGTACGGACGTTGCACTCGTTCGCATAGTGGAACGTCGGCAGCTGCACCAGAAGCGGCCGGAGTTTTTGCACTCGCACTGGAGGCAAATCCGCAATTGACATGGTAACTGACCACTTCATTCGCAATGATGAACATTCATAATCACTTGTGATAAACTCTTTTTCAAATTATCATAAAATCAGCAACATTTCGTTCAATTGAAATGCATTCCGTACTTCACCTATCTTTTTATCCATCATCTATAACAGTGGTTCTCATAGGGGTGAAATTACCCATTTTGGGTAATTTGGAGGTGTGAAGGATTAATGGAAGGGTTGGGAAATTGGTATTTCGGTTATTTATGACAGAACGCCATTGTGATGGTGTTTTTTTCTTTTTCTGAGTATCATTAGCTCATCCGGACCTGATAGGGTTTTCNATAACTTTTATCACCAAAAGTGTTCTCTGCTGTTAATTTCTCATTCATTTCACTCAACAATTAAAGTCGAATTCTCATTCTATCAAATACACTCTATAATTGATCATTTCACTCTCGAACGTTGTTGAGCAATAATATTCGATTGCTGTATTGTTGATTTCGGTTGTCAACACTCGTCAACGTATCTAGTAAATAGTAAATGCTATAGAATGAGAAATCGATTCGACCTGTGAAGTGAAATGAGACGAAGTGAATGATAAAAACTCATCAAGAGAACGATATTCGCATGAAATAGCTATGAGAGTGAATACAACACGTCTGAAAAGAATGAGAATCCATCTGAATCAGTTTGAAGTGAAAAGCTATTGTCATAGACAATAGCCTTTCATGCGATCATGATCGACTGCAATAATAAGCAATAGAAATATCTAAAAGGAAGTTGAATACCATCATGAACGTGCTAATAAGATCTGAGACTATGCGATTCCTATATGCATCGTCAAAAGGGGTAATAGAACACCGGAACGTAAGAACCACTGATCTCTGAGATTATTCATTTCGTTGATTTAATCCACTTCTCAAGGTTCCTTTCCATCAATTAACCCTCTCAAAAAGTTGAAAACTGATGGCTGTTGATCAGTTGATGAAATTGATTGAAATGATCAGCGTAATCAGTCTTTCTTCGACAGCACTGAATAACTGAAAATTCTAGGCGTGATCTGCAACACTTGACCGTGCTCACGTCATCACGGAATTCTTTGTTCGATGGTCGCTGCCGTGACTTACCTGATCTAGGACTTGAGGTAAACGAGTGACTGATTTGGTTGATAGTGACTTTAGTTTTGCTACCATTTTCGTTATTTTTTATTGGTCTCAAGCATCAATAAATGTTATGAATTGATTTTGAAGGAATGCTGACAAAATTTTCATCTTCAACTGTCAATTACTATCGTTCTTTGTTAAGGTTCAAGTATTTGAATGAAATGGACGATGTGTTTAAGGGTGATGAGATGCATAATAAGGAAACGAAGAATTGCTCACATTTTGAATGGCAAATGAATGGAATTGGTTTGGAGTATAATCATTTGTTCGGATTCGGTGTTTTGGATGCTGCTGAAATGGTCATGTTGGCTGTTGTTTGGAAACCATCCCCTCCAAGATTCCATTGTGAAGCCGGTACAATCAACACACCACAGTCAGTCTCTTCAGAATCATGCAGATGTTTTCTCCATTTTAAGTTTGATGATATGTAAACGATAAAGAGGTAACCAGATTTACATATTTGAGTATACCAATGGTAAGGTAAGGTCAACTGTTTTTGGAAAAGAAATCGTTCGTGAGCAGTTGAAAACATTTAAGACTGATTAAAATGGCATTCTGCACCGAGAAGATGATTATTAGAGAATGATTATTTGCAGTGAAATTCCGGCCAGTGGCAATCTTATACTGGACTTGGATACAGACTCTTGCGCTGGAACGAATACAGAAGTGAATTATTTGGAGCATGTTCAGGCAGTGGTTACGCTGAATAGTAGTCGTCGAGGTGATACCACCCTATACCTGATCTCACCTGCTGGCACAAGGTGAGATTCGTTCATGATAGTCAACCTGTAGGCATGATTCTGAGTTTCGATGGCTGCTTGTTTGCAGTTTATGATTTCATTACGCCTGCACCAGTGATACAGCGTGACCGCTCAATCTGACTAAAGACATTTAGCCTAACGACAGTTTGCCTAAAGACACATTGCCTAATGGACAGTTTGCCTAACTTACGGTTTTTAATGAATATTTCGCCTAATAGGCAAAATGTTCCTTAGGCAAACTGTCCGTTCGGCAAACCGTCCGTTAGGCAAACTGTCCGTTAGGTTAAATGTCTGTAGGCAGATTGACCGGGTACCGTGATAAAGTGTCCTAGATGTATTATATTTCAGAACAATGATCCTCTCGAGACGTCCAAAGGACGATGATAGTAAGGATGGCTTTACTAATTGGCCATTCATGACCACTCACACATGGGGTGAGAATCCACGAGGTCGATGGAGACTGGTGGCTCGATTCCAGGTTGGTTCCAAAATTCTGACCTTTTCAATTCAAATATTGCTTTGAATGGTTCCAAAACTGATACAGCTTCGCTGGTGCCTACTGTATCCAATGGAATTCTCATAGTGTTCGGTGAGACTATCACGCGTCATATTCTCCTCCAGGATTCTGAGTGATTTCTCATTTGTTTACGGAACATGAGCTGATATTCATCATTCTTCATCATTTGCCGACTTCAGTCGCTCCAATTCGCTCTTCATTCAGTTATCTCATAAGACTGACTTATAAATCGATCGTTTGATCTGATTTTATGAAAAATGATAGCTTGCACAAGAAAGTGGAAATACACACAATATCGAGATTGCTGATAGAGGTAGTTTCAGATTTGTATTTGATGTTAACATCCAAGCAATAGTTGATCAAGCTCAACGAAAAGACTTCTCTAAATACTGAATTCGTTGTTTTAGGGACCTGGTGCTCATCATGGAACCGTAAAGAAGTTTACGCTGATGTTGCATGGCACCAAAGATCCACCATACGTCGGCATTGAGCCGTTACAAGGGCATGTCAATAGCAAATTATCAGTGGTGCAGAAGGCACATAAACGAGCAGCCGTATTCTAGGAGAAAAGCCGTATAGCAGCACAAGGCCGGTAAAGAAACAGTGAAAGATGAAAAACGAAAATGATACGAATGAAATCCGATAGAATTTCCCTTCGTCAACGTGTAATTGGAGCGTGAAATTACTGACAATACGATGAAATTTTCTCCACAAAAAAAATTGATCATGATTTTGATCATTCTTATTCGAGCGAATATTTGAGTACTTTGTCAAATAGCGCATTTATGAGAAAGATTCTGAGATAGAGAGGTGCGATTTGATGGTTTGAGGAGCAGGGAAGTTTTCACGGATTTATTCACATTTCAATTTTTCATAATGAACTAAGCGAATTTACATTCAAATATATACAGATTTCTATAATAATGTAGATGCGAATTCGTTCAGTTGTATCATCGGAATATGTTTCCTTTTTATTTCATTGCGTTTCTATCGTCTAGACTTCTTAGATTTTCTTTTTCCCTTGTTTTAATCATTTTGTGCGTTTATTTCAACGATTATTATGTCCGGTGATAAATTATTGAATTGTCATCTTAAATCATATGCAGATAATAGATAGATTATTGAAATCTTTAAATTATTCGATCATCATTCACTCTTGACATATTTCATGACAACATATCAAAACGAGAATGAACATTCCGCAAATGATTTCTAATCTCAACAATTTCAATTACGCACAACTGATTTCTTCTCATTGTTAGAACTGCTACGGGCTGTCCTTATAATAGATCTCTGTTCGATTTCATTATTATCGCGGTTGACGACGTCTTTATTCTATTATTGTTGTCATTATTATGATTATTACTATTCATTATGATCACTATTCTTTATTATCACAATTCATCATTATTATCTCTGATATTATTTTCTGAATATTATCATTTCAATCTTATTGCTATCAATTTTGGTGTTATCATTAGTGTAACTATTATTATTATATTTGCCATGTTAGTTTTATATCCGTTCTGATGCTGTTTCCTGCGACTTCAACAACATTCCTCATGTATTTCTTTGAACGTTTCGTGTTTGTGAGTGTATTCGGCGTTTTCCATGTGACTTCTTTGTTTTGTTTTTGTATATCGTTGTCTGTTTTTAGTTAAGTTCTGTTTTTTCTGTTCTCTTTTCATTCAGCATTCGAAGTTGAGATTTCTTTCTCATTCATAAAGTTTTATCGTGTACTCAATCACTCTTTCGAGTCGTTGATCAAGCACTACTTTTCGTGTTACAACCCTGAGAAGCAAGAAAGTTTCTGTTCATGTCGAAATGGGGAGATTCCCCTTGAAAATTATTTCACAAAACACCATCTTTTGTCCACATTATTATGAGGACAGCTGAGGACAGATCATTAAAGAATATTATCGGTAATGGAAACGAAACCGACCAAAAAACCGTTTATTTATGACTGGCTTGTATGATGATCACCGAATGATCAATTTATCAAATGATAAAGTCAAAACCGTGGAAATTTCAAAACAGCGATGGATCAGTCCTCAACGTACCGATGATTTATATCGTACTTATTGGATATTTAACGACGCTATGTTAAGAAAGAATAACTGCTACGATACTCTCTGATAACTAACCGATATGGCATGATGACGTTAGTGATATTGTAATAATGCTTATCACCAAGCATTACTGTCATTATAACCTATTCTATCATCACATTATGCGTTGATTTGTCGATGTGAATCCGTGATAGTTTTAACAGTGCTCGATTATTGCTATCATAGTCATTATGAATGAACACTGGTAAAGCGAGGAATTAAAGTCATTATTCAGCTAACGCGTTTCTTCTTCAATCCGTTCGAATAAATGACTCAGTTGATCGCATGCTTCTTCCCTCGAATTGACTATACTGAAAGTATGAAACTTCAAATTGATTCTATTTGATGTTTTTTCTTGCTCAGTGCTGTTGTAATCTGCATGCTCTTGAGCACATTTAAAGTATTGCTGCATTCAGAATGATTTCCGTATGACTCACAATATGCACAGACAGACAGCGGACAATTCTCATCAGTGCTTAATTGATGAACTCAAGTAATCAAGCAATGGCCCGTAATGAATATTATAAGATGATAGTTTCAGTGAAATTATCGTTTAATATGGTTGAAACGCATAAATTCTTCCGTGTACATTATTCCCGTTCAATCATCCGTCCCATCATCGATTCAGTGATGTTGATTTCCAGAAATAAGACGTCTAGAAATGTTCTGTTGACTCAACAGGAATATTTCGAATTTTTCATTGTCGACGACATCGTCCCCGTATGCACGTTCTTTGTGAACAATCTTTGCAAGATCATTGAGCAATTTGCACAGTAACCAGTTTATTTTACGGCGTATGGGTAGGTGTTAAGTGGGCTCATTTCACCTTTTCAATATTCTCGCGTTATTTATGAATAATTGCGCAAAATCGCATGCTTCCACCAACAACAACAGCCGTAATTCAATGGTAATAAATGAGAATCATGCATGCTAGTTTCGTGGCTACAGTCAATATCAACGAAAGAAGAAAACGTTTCAAGCAAACAAAAACTTTTCAGAAAAATAAGCAATACTTTTTGCAGTGTTCTCTTTTATGAAAGTTTAATCATGCGCATATTTGTCAACTGTTTGAATTAACACTTCGAAATCGTTAACTGAAGTTCCTTGCTCCATGCGAATTGGGAACAGAATCCAATCGGAACAGATGAAGTGAAAGTGGTTGATAGTAATAACTTCATCAGTTCATCGATAAACTAATAAAGTTTATCACCGATTGATCATAAATAAGAAGTTGTCCATAAAAATGATGCAGTAAATAATGTTGACCGAAACAAGTGGATCAATGTATCGATACAACTTTAGCTATTGAGCAATTTTTGTCCTTATCAATTTGTAATTTGTATATTTACGTGCTAAAATATCAGTATCAGCAATTTGTACACTTGTTTTCTCTTCTGTTTTACACAGCAGTTCAAGTTTGAAGACTCCTTCTTCTGACTGTGAGGATTTCCAAATATTACGCGGTAAAATTTTTACATGACACGAATGAAAGGTCAACTAAAGTTCTCCGGGGCTGTACTCTCAGTTGAATTCATATGGAATGGTGTGTCTTTTGCAGAATTGTATAATATTTCACAGGGTAGAACGAGTGTGATAACGTTGCCCGCAAGTTGCAAAACAGCGTCGAGTAGTAGTTCATTTCCTTTCGGTGGAGTATACGTTTGGTGATAGATAGTCACATTTAACGATAAAATTCACTGCCACATTCAGTAAATTTTACACAGTTGTTCCACTTGATATTTCGATAATATTAAGAATATCAATATTGATAATAATAGTAATCGAAATGATATTATAATAGTGATAATACCACCATATTATTCCATTGAACCTTTCTCTTTTATCATTCAATAATCGCAATATCCATGGATAATACAATGAATGTAATGTGATACGAGAGTTACAGTGTTATAGTATGATGTCACTGTATAACAGTAATGTTGACATTATGAATTGTCATCGATAAATGAGCATTTGAAGGCGCAATACACCGCGTTGAACAGTTGCAGATTTGCGGTCATTTCACCATCAAACATTCATGATAGTATTGTATTTGTTCAACTTCAAGCTTTTGTTCAGTCGTTCGTTTTGCTCGAAGATATTCCCTCACAATTGTCGTTAGTAACATTCGTAACATGAATTTAATTGAATTCAATTTGTCATTCACATACAATTGACATAATCCTTTGTATGTCATTTACAAACTTTGAAACTATCCAAAGCAAATGTTCTTTGGTTATCGAAAAAAAGAATTTAAACAAACCTCTTCACGGTTTCTTAATTTAAAGAGACTTCACAATTGCGCTTAACGGTTCTGTGTATTCATCCGAAGAAATTCACTCTTTTTTACCGCTTCATTTTTAAAGTTCGACTGAAAATGTTAAGTGAATGTTAGTGATAACGGCGGTCACGTGATAGTGACAGACTTGGATGGCGAGATCTGAAAATTTTTTTTGGAAAAACGATAAAAATTTTGGGAAAAACGATGTAGTGTGGTAAATGTGAATCAATTCGAAGATATGATGCTATTTTCGTAAAAATATGTGCTATCACTACGAATATGGTCAAAATTGTTGCCTTCAAAACATTGTTGTGTCTTCTTATGTAGAAATATTCATAGGAAATTCCATAGTTGATGTTTTAAAGCATAAAATTGTTTATTTTCCTATACGATTCTCCATATTCTCTTCCTTATCACCCTCATCGATAATTTCAAAATGCTTTTAAGATAGAACATTCAACGCTGTTAGTTGGTTTTGAAATATAAGAGCACATCATGTTCAAAACAATTGGAAAATTTCACTATGATAGGGAAATTATGTGATGTAATTAATTTTGAAAGTTGTGCTTCATACCTTTTCAAGTAATATGTTCATTTGGCCAATGTCTATCTGCCATAAACTCTTCGAAAACAAAGTAGAAGTTAGTAATGCGGAGGAAAATCACATTCAATTTTGTGATATATTATCAGAAGACGTTTATTTCACTATAGTAGGGAAAAATTATTTCACTATGGTAGGTAGTAGGTATTTTGATCACCATCGCTTTGAGCATTTGGCACTTTAAAAAAAACCTTTTGCACTCGACGTCTTTCTCGATGTATGTTTTCCATGTTGATCATTCCTTCATCATTTTGTGATCACCGTCGCTTTTAAGAATATAATTTGATCAGAAATATTGACTCGGCATATTCCAACGATAATTTGCAATATATCAAAGCAATACTTTACGATGAGTGACAAAAATGAAGTCTTTCAAGAAGCTGACAATGAGGATAATACAATGAACTTTCGTCAAACATCAAACATGCGAAATGTTTCCAAAAAGATCGATCTCTAAAGAAAAAAGACGTTTTTTGCAGCAGATATTGAGGAACTTTTGAAATTTTTTGTGTGCGTTATATGTGTTTCTTTGAGTGATGGTGAATAGGTGAAATAGCAATAAATTGTCAATGA